GATGTTTCGCAGTAAACTTTATCATCTACATTACAGAGCAAGCATTACAGACTTCCCTTGGCAAAGTTACAGGTCATATCTGCAGGGAGAGGAGCCAATCCAAATGTAAGAATGGAGGTTTTTGAGCAGTAAAACTCTCAAAAGCCTTCTGCTGTTTCTATTATTTGTCGCATGGCGCTGTGGCAGGAACCCGAGTGTGTCCTATATTCTTGGTCTGGTGCACTCCAGGGTTGTCTTGAGTAGTTTCTCCAATGTGGTTTTACTGCAATTGGCAAAGAAATCCTTGAATCTTGAATAAAAGCAAATCATCTCAATGACAACAAGCAGAGAGTAAAACACATCATAAATGTTGTGTTTTTTGTATTTCTTATTTTTTTTAATACCCTGTGACATTTTAATTGTATTTTGTAATGTTTACAAAGATTTTAATGTTCATGATTTATGCCTGATATGGGTTGTGAGGAGCTTTGTGTTGTCTTGTGTGACAATGATTGATTATCTCGAAGGTTTTATTAAGATTAGAGAATCAAACAGCTTAAACACAAGAGATGCCATTAGTCCATAAGAAGCAGATGATCAATTTCCATAAATGTTGTTGAATGTCGAGTGTCCTGAATGATGACCACTATCTTTAGACCCTCCTCAATCGCCAAGGAAAAACAAAAGAGCTATTTCTAAACTTAATGAACAGATGGAATAAGGTCAATAGTTAGTTCTGTAGTGGTCTACAAAAGGCTTACACAACCCCGAAAGCCTTTGCCCATGTAAGTCCACATGTCTGTCTCCTACTGTTTAATTAACCACAACGCGCTCGCTTCATGCAGTCAAATCAAAACAGACTTAACCTCAGCAGACTGGTAAGAGTGTGCTCCAGAGAGGGCCCAAGACTGAGAGAACAGCCTCTCACTGCTCAGGCATAAAGCACTTTTGCTCCAGTAATGACCAGATTTCAAGGGTTTTCAGTAGGATTTCCTGAGCTAATGACATGCCAGTACAGCCACTCAATCTAGGCAGAGCAGAGGACCAGGACTCAAAGGGAGAAAGCAGGCAGTAATCCAAAAGGGAAGCCCGGGAGGAGCGCAGGAATTTGGAGAAGACAGGACGAAGGATGGGAGGGTTAGGAGATTATTGACGGAAGACGCAAAGGAGGTCTTTCTCAAACAGTTTATGAAATGAAAAAGCAGATGAATGTGATATAATTTCTATTAAAATACCAATAATCCTGATTACAATGCTTGCCATTGTCAACCACCAACTGATTGATAAAAAAAAAAAACGCTATCAATATGAATCAATATAAGTTAATGCTTGCAAAGATTATTACTGTAGATATTTACCAGCCAAATCAAGAACAAAGAATAGGCCACAAAGCTTTTTTCTGGTACATTAATGACGGGGTACTCTATTTGTATCGTGCCTTAGCAACAAACCAACAACAAACCAGTATTCAGGAAAATTCTTTGACAGGAGTTTCTTTCCTCCTTAACATGCTCGGAAGAAACAAACTTGTCAAAAAAACGCAGAGTGTAGAATATGTCGGAAGCGCAGGTGGCATCACAGCGGTGACATGGCACCTTTTGTCATCATTGAACGTGGCTTTATATCAGACTGTAAACTTTATACGCAGCTAAAAACAAAACACAGATCACCGAGTCACAGCATTACTTTGCGGTACAAAAACTCGGCTGGACGAGGTACTTACTATTAAAGGGTTTTTTCACTTTGTTCCCATATGCACATTGAGTTGTTTTATTTTTCAATGAAGAAAAGGCAATATGTTTAATTTTTTCATTTATTTCACAGTTAAAATGTGTCAGAAGCACTACGTTCCTACCTGAACTGACTCTCTCTTTGAGGTAAAAAAAAAAAAACAATTAAGGCAGAACATTGCAGCCTGACTTGTTCACAACATTGTCAGTTTTCCCAGGTTAAACGTTATAAATATTTTAAGCCTTTCTGCGCTGCTTTATTGCCCATGAAACATATTTTGTTGCAGATGAGTTTTTGACGAGGATGGTAGTTACATTTCAACAGGTTTCTAAGTGATAATTAAGCTGCAGGTATCCCTTTTCAAACCCAGGCAAGATTATAACAGTTTTACGGGTTAACCATTAGAGATTCCTGGGGGAGATAACCTCACGCCGCTGCCCTCTCTCTGTTCATCCCTGGTCTCTCTCTCTCTCTCTCTCCACATTCCTCCCAGTGACTGACCCGTGTCCTGCTCCAGACTGGGTTGATCCGCACTGAAAGCTGACAAATCATTCAAAAGCCGCTCAGGTTGGAATCACTGAAGTCCGCACAACCAACATCATCGCTGCTGAGTCGCATGCTCGTCCTTGCTATTGTATTGTGATAGTATTGTAAGTTTCTTTTTACAGCTTTTTCAACGCTTTTGACCATCATAATTTACAAAGTGAAACCTAGGCATTTAACTAAAGCAAATCATATATCAATATCAACAAGTAAGTAAGTAAGTAAGTAAGCTTTATTTATATACCGCCTTTCACAGACCAGAGTCACAAAGCGGTTTACAATTGTTATTTTTTACGTCATGGTTTTGAGCATTGAATTCAAAGCGAGGATCGACAATGACTGTAGCGCTTATCGCGACTGTGCGCGTGCCCGGAACGACCGTGATCATGGTCGTAGTTTTTGACTCATTTAGGCAAGGCAAGGTACGTTTATTTGTATAGCACGGTTCAAGGGTAACACGAGGAAACTCAAAGTGCTTAATAAAACAAGATAGAACCAATTACACACTGCATTTAAACCAGATAATCACAGTAAATTATAAAGAGGGAAGATACAACCCTTCAGTTTTATGCACAGCGAAATAGAACTGTTTGGATTTGAACATTGTCAGAGTAGAAGCCTGTCTCACACTTTCAAGAAGACTGTTCCAGATTTTAGTTCTATATGACAGCTAGGAATCCACTAAAAAGACTATGTAAAAGACTATTTGCCGGGGCCTGTATCCAAATGTAAGCCTGGACATGGATTTCAGAATGATGATAAGTTAAGTTAATTGAAATTGAGCTTTAAAAACATTGGTATTGACGCTTCCCTGTTGTAATAAAATCGTCAATGCTTCATGGATAGAACCGTCCAAATTGGCAGAGTCTGTTGAGATCTTCTATATGACTTTGTGTGGAGTGAAAAGTTGCCTGTGCGTTGCTTTTTAAGTAAGCTGAGTCAAGTGCTGCCAAGTTTGACAAAGGAAGCACTGCACGGAATAATGACTTGGCAAAAAGCACAGAGATCTGACCTCTATACTGTCCTGTCCAGAGACAAGGGGCGGACCCGTAAGGTAGACATGAAATACAGTTCAAGGGGTTGTTACTGGCTGGCAATGGGATGGGAGAAAGAATGAAAAAAAATATATTGAAAAAATAATGTTTTATATAAAGTCTATATAATATATACCGTATATATATAATCTTATTATTGTTATTTAGATTTTTTGGACACTCAAAGAATCTTCACATGACTTTATTCTTCCACTTCATACACAGTGGTGATTAACTCGCCCTAGCTGCTCTGGGGCACACTGACAGAAGCAAGGCAACCAGTATGTGACATCGGCCCCTCTGACCACCACCAAACATTCACACACACCAGACTCATTCCAAGCAATGTGGGTGAAGCGTCTTGCCTATGGACACAATGACATTTTGGCAGTTTACAGCCGAAGCTGCCCCACTGTGGCACTTGTGGGGAGGCTGCGAGGTCTCCTATCACAGTATTAACCAGGGCCTCCCCTGCTTAGCTTCAGAAGTGTGATGGCTATGGCCATCACATGCAGGTGGCGCCAAGAAAGATTCAGAATGATTGACTTTCTGCTTTACAGAAGGAAGAATTCAGAGAAATTGACTTAAGAAAGTTGCTCAACAGAATAGATTTAATCATAAACATGCATGTAACGTAGGTCTGTTTTGACAATTAACTATCCATATTGTTTAAACACAATTCAGCACAATTTAAAACAAGGCATTACTGCATCGATCTCTAATCAATCACCTCTTTCAACATTCATTCATACTATTTGGCAACACAACAACAAACATGGTTGGGGTCTTTCCCAGTCCTGCTCTGGTCTGTGTCACCGCACCTTTGTGCTAATTTGCAGTCATAAAGTAATCTAATGGCCAGTCTCCAACCACTGAAGCCACCATGTAGTAACACAGTAAGCAGACGGAGGTCAAACTAGGAGGGGAATGTCTAGTTTTTAGACTCATCTGTTGCAACATCGAATTAGATGATGATATTCCCTAAAAGTGCACCTAAAAATGAAAAACTTTCGGCTGCATATTTTAAACTTTTATCAATCCCTACTCAGTGCTACTTTAGGACGAGTCAAATCATTGATGAAAAAGTGATATATTCAAAATGATAACTGGGGAAACACTCAGATTGATGTAGGGAAAAGGTAGGCTACTGTTTGCATAGTGTACTTTTAAGGCCCGTAATTACAGTTTAATAAGTGAAATCCTTAACCCTTTGATAGTTTCCTCAACCATTAGGTGGCATCCACTTGCTTAGAACTGAAATCTACCTCTTTGGGGCATCTCACTTGGTTTTAGGCACTTTTACCATCAAACTGCATCCCAGCCATTCCCTATATATAAAAAATTGAGGGTTCAAAAAAAGGAGTGACCATTAAAGGGTTAAGCACAAATGTATGTCTAAGAAGTCATGTTTTGCAGTTATTTCATTGTATGTGTTTTTTTTTAGCTTTGCTCCTGTTATGTAGGCTAATGTGAGCCACAACACTGAGATCCCCCATTATCTCGTCTTATCTGAAACAAATATATGCAAATTACATTACAGTAGATTCTCCTGCAATCCAATCATGAGTCATTCAGAAGTTTTTCACACCACGCATGAGTTTGTAAAGACTTAAAATACTTTTTGGACTGTCCCGGGTAAAAAGCACGCCAGACCACTCCATAATCTCATAACATCAAAACAAATTGTGACCAAAAAACGTGTCCAAACCTCACCTGGATGGTTTGACTGGGGTCCCCGGACACAGGGCCTCCCACCAGCTTGCAGTACAGGTCATGCACCGCTCTGCCGCTCTCGTCTTCGCCACACGTCGCCGTAGCCGTGATTTTCGTCCCCTCCGCCAGGTTGAAATACGGTGGGTGCAGGCTGTATCCATTCACCCCATTCGTGGGCAGCTCTTGTCCAAAGCCAGCGGTCAGACACGCCGCTATGACCAGTAGAGAAAACGACCAACGCTCCCTTCTTCTCCTTATCATCATCCCACTGTGCGTAATGTCCACTTGCCGTGCGTAATGTCCACCTGTTCCACTCGCCGGCTAAAGCAATTCCCCCCCAAAAGTTAAAAAAAAAACACGTTTAAAACCCTTGTAAAGCTCTAATACAAAAGCTTTTGTAAATAATCTATGTTCCTAAATGTGACAGGGGTGAAGGAGAGAGCCGTCAAGTGCGACCGGGCTCCAGCGCGGACCAGCGAAGTGTAGCGACGCCGCGGTGCACTGCCTCTGGGCCGGGTGCTAGATGGATGGACCTCCCCCCAGAAAGGCAGGAGCAAAGAGGAGGGTACATAGGACCGGTGCCCCCCCTAATGAGAGAGCGAGTGTATAAGAAGTGGTTAGTTCTGAATAGTATGCTGGGAAAAGTGTTGTTTCAAAGGCGTAACAAAGAGAGTAGAGAAGTTGTTAGTTAGCTGGCAACTGAAGGGTGTCTGCTGTTTAAGCCCCGTTTCCACCACTCTATTCTACTATGCTCTTCTCAGCTATACTCGACTCTGCTCTACTCTACTCTTCTCTGCTCGACTTTACTCTATTGGACTCTATTCTACTTTACACAGCTCTACCCTATTCTATTTGCCTATAGACTCAACTCTGCTCTACTTAGATAACTCTACTTTAAGATAAGATAAGTTAAGACTTTATTAATCTCACACAGGAGAAATTTACATGTCACATTGGCAAGGATAGGAACACTCAAGAATTGTGCAAAAAGTAAGAAATGTGCAACATGTTAATGCAGGACATAGTACAGTACAAAAAAGTGGCAATTAGAAAGAAGTATCAATAGTAGTGCAGGTTTCTTTTCAGTCATAGTGCAGTGACTTAAAGTGACTTGTTGTACAGTCTGACAGCGGTGGGGATAAAGGCCCTGCGGTAGCGCTCCTTGCACTGAGGGGGCCTCAGTCTTCCACTGAAGGAGCTCCTCCACAGTCCTGTGCAGTGGGTGGGAGGTGTTGTTCATGATGGAGGTGGCTTTGGCTAGCACCTTCTACACTTCTCGACTACTCTATTCAACTCTATTTGCTGATATTTAACTCTGCTCTACTCTACTCAGCTCAATTCTGCCTGGTTGCGTTTCCGTTACATCTTAGTATCTGGTACTTATCTATAGCAACCTAACCACAATAAAAGACTATCCAAGGAAATTCCCAGATGACCATGGCTTCCAGCAGCACTCTGGCAAAGAAGTTCTTACCAGTAAAACAGGGCCAGAGTAGAGCAGGGCTAAGTGTAGAGCTGGTGGAAACAAGATTTATGTTAGCTTCATAGTGTTATAAACTATAATTTAAAGGATAATTTTAGCCATTCAAAATGAATGAATGAATTAATTTTTCACCTCAGTCCACTCGACCCCCCCACCCCCCCTCTCTCTCTTCCCAACTTGCATTCCTCTTTTCATTTTGACTTGTGCCAAATAAATAAACTTGTCTTTAGCTCTTGTCGACTTTGCAGCTGGTGCTCCCTGAAGTCTGCGGGAAGTCCTCTTATCGCAGGACTTTAATTCCAGTGTAGAGTTTACAGTCTCATTAATCCCTCATTCCTTCTCAGCAAACACAAGTGACTAAACAACAAATGGCCTGACCCCCGTTAAGCCAAACACCCAGGCGTGAAAGTCAAATGCAGACAGGGGACACACAGACACACACAAACACACACTTAAAATCAAATGCAAACATTGCAGATGTGTTGAATCATTTGAATTCATACATAACAAACAACTGTTAAGTATTAACCTTGTTTAATAGATATATTTTACTTCTCTTTTATACTTTAATATAGTCATGAAAAGATACAATGTGTTACTTTATTCAAGTTATATACATGTATATAACTTGCATAAAGTAACACATTGTCCCTCCAAACAAATTATAAAACATCTGCAGTAAATTCAAAACACTGCAGCTCAATTCCTGAACATAGACAGTAAATATTAACGGACAAAGTCATGCCTATCTCCGCAGTTGAAACTAATGTGCCACCACTTTTGCCTTCCATGGAGCTTTTTCAAAAGTGCAGCAGGATAGGAAAATGTAATAAAATGCATTTGCGCATGCACTAGCCGGATCTAGCCCCATTCATTTTACAAGTGCATTCTGAAGTCCACAGCGGCTAAATTAGAGTGGTCCAAAAGATAGATACTCCCCTCAGCATTGACACACATCTGGAACTTAGGGTTGGGCCAAGAGCCAAATTTTGGACCATCCTGTGAAGATTGGGGGAATTGGGGAATTCTTATTTAGGGTCCACCCCCACCGGCTCAGAGTGAGATTGCAGCATGTCAGCGCACATGCTCATGGACCTTTTGGAGCTGGGACCCGCCCCCACTAGTCCTGACTAGAACCAGGAAATACCATCACTTTAGTCCAGTTCTCAGGTCTCTGCACTGGCTTCCTGCAACTCAGAGAATAGATGATAAAGCAGCTCTGTTTGTGTACAAGTCTCTTCATGGCTTCGCACCAAAGTACATGAATGATATATGGAACAGCTCGGAATCTGAGGAGCACAGGGACTGGCCTCCTGCTGGTGCCAGTCAGCGCCAGAGTCAGCAGCATTTCAGATTTATGCAGCCAAAAGGGCACTGTCTGCCTGAATGTATCCATATATTTTGAAACTTTGAAAGAATGAATGAATACTTTATTTCAACCCATGCCAAACAAGAACAAAGAACAACAACAGAATAGAAAAAAACACAATACAAGATCATGTACAAATATACAGTATGTTTTGTTTCATAAAAAAAAAAGGCAGCTCGAAAAGGAGTGAGAAGAAGTTAAGACTTTTAAACTCCCACCCCCCCCCTTTATCATTCTAATTTAATGTAACTAATTATGTGGTTTCCACCGCTTGACCTTTGATATACACAGTACATATATAAAACTTCCCCTGCCCTGATGCTCCCCAGATGTCCCATAGGTTCTAGTTTGTGAAGTACTGATCTATGGAGGCGTGCTTGGGCATATGCAATAAAATCAAGTGTAAGATTTTTTTTGTGTATATGTATTATGGACTGCAGTCATCTTTGGGCCTCTCCAGTGATATAATCTGGACATTCCCCTGCTCCACATTTCTCTCAGCCTGTCCCAGGGCAGGTGTGACAATGTAGTTCACTTGTGTCTTGTTATCGCCTTCTCATTTGGACCTTCACTCAGGGGAACAACCTTCAGATGTCATTTAATCTGTCTGCAAATCTGACATTGCTCTAAGCCAATAGAGGGCCTCCTGGTAATTACCCCTGATTGTACCTCCCTTGTTCTAATCAGTGACATGTAGTGCAGTGAGGTGGTGGTTAGCATTCTCACCTCACAGCGGGAAAATAATACTGACAATATACTGAAAAAGTCAATCAGTAACATCACTAGAAAATGTACAGGGTGCCTACAGTGTGCACTTTTACTGAAAGAAATATTGCTATTTCTATTGAGATATGAACAATATTGATATAAAAATAAGGCGAGGCAAAGCAATTTTATTTCTATGGCACTGTTCATAAACAAGTAAACTCAAAGTTATAAACAAAACAAGAAAAAAGTTCAATTCTACAAGGCATTATAATGTTGCATCAAAAGTTAAAGGACAGTAAGAAAGAGGCGCACAAAGCACAGGTTAAGTGAACAATAGCTATACTAATTAAAATAAAAAAAAATAACTCTAGCATCAAATAACAAGTATAAAATCTCTATCTTGATAATGATAATATTAAAAAGAAGTATAAAAGTTTTACATTTGGCAAAGTAAGAGTAGAAGCCTGTCTCACATTTTCAGGCAGACTGTTCCAGATTTTAGTTGCATAAATCTGAAACGCTACCTCCCTGTGTTTGTTCTGGATCTGGGAACCAGCAGGAGGCCAGTCCCGGTGCTCCTCAGAGTCTAGATCTAGAAACATATCATTTCCATATACAACAGTCACAATCTCCTTAAAAAAAAAATTATTATTATTTTTACGATACGCAGGTTTCTGTTTCTCTGCATGTTTGGGCAAGGCAAGGCAAGGCAAGTTTATTTATATAGCACAATTCATGCACAAGGCAACTCAAAGTGCTGAACAAAACAAGAAAGCATTAAAATCATAAATAATCACAGAACATTAAAAAGAAAGATAACAATATAAAATCCCCCAGTTGTATTTCACAGCTAAACAGAACTGTTTTTAACCTGGTTTTAAACATTGTCAGAGAGGAGGCCTGTCTCACATCTTCAGGAAGATTGTTCCAGATTCTAGCAGCATGAATCTGAAAAGCAGCCTCCCCATGTTTAGTTCTGACTCTGGACACTAACAGGAGTCCAGTCCCTGTGCTCCTCAGAGTCCGGGCTGGTTCATATGGGACTAACATGTCACTAATATAGTTTGGTGCGAGGCCATGGAGAGACTTGTACACAAGCAGAGCTGTTTTAAAGTCTATTCTCTGAGCCACAGGAAGCCAGTGCAGAGACCTGAGAATTGGACTAATGTGGTCGTACTTCCTGGTTCTAGTCAGGACTCGAGCTGCTGCATTTTGAATGTACTGCAGCTGTTTTACAGCCTGTTTGGACAGACCTGTGAGCAGGCCATTGCAGTAGTCTAACCTACTGGAGACAAATGCATGGATAAGAATCTCCAAGTCTGCTTTAGACACTATGTTTTTGATCCTGGCAATGTTTTTTAGGTGGTAAAAAGCTGCTGATGTTACTGATTTGATGTGGCTATTAAAATTTAAGTCTGAGTCCAGTATTACCCCTAGATTTCTGACCTTGTTTGAAGGTTTTAGGGAGAGAGACTGTAGATGACAGATGACGCTCTCTTTGTTTCTGGGGACCAAAGACAATAATTTCAGTTTTGTCTGCGTTTAGCTGAAGGAAGTTGTTTTGCATCCACTCACTGATCTGTTGGATACAGTGAAGGAGTGAGTCCACTGGTCCATGTTCTCCTGCAGTCAGTGAGACATAGATCTGAGTGTCGTCTGCATAGTTGTGATAGGAAACTTTGTTTCTGCGTATTAACTGAC